GACGGTGAGGGAAACCTCCTCTCTGCTGGACCTACAGAGACCCTCAGAGGTCCTGATGACCTCTATACTGTCAGCAGCAGAGTGACTGTGGAGAAGAAACACAGAAATACTGTCAACTGTATAGTCCAACAAAGGGATATCAACCAGAGCAGAGAGACACAGATGCATGTTTCAGGTAATGTTTTCTTCTGAAATTTGATTCAGTCTTAAGATGTGTTATGTTACAACCTCACTGATTAAAACAATCTGAAGTGTAATATGTTATAGTTAAATAAAGTCAGACTTGCAAAGAAATTAAATGCAAATCTAAATTCATTTAAAATTTGATATAAGAAGCATTTCTATTTTCCTAAATTGAAAGAACAATACTGGATAATTTATATAATGATAAATTCAAACTGTTACAAACTGACTTTGTCTGTATGGGGCATGAGAGGTGTAATACAAGGGCAATAGCACAAGCTGTTTATAAGTTCAGACTACAAACAATAAAATGTGCGTCAAAATCTATTTAGCGGTTTTTAAAAATTCTTACATTTTTACCCGATTAAATTAAGTAGAAGTGGAAAAGGAAGTAAATTAATCTCCAAGGATTTTGAAGAGAAAATCATTTTTGTGGTCTGAAACAACTCTGAAAACCATTTTCAGTCAACACAGTTCATTTCTGCATCGAAATAACATCTGAGCTCAATAAACATAGATTGAAGAGAAGTGGGAAACTGTACTGCTGTTTTCAGCACACAGTCCAAAGTAATGTAAAGTGATGTATGTGGTAGCTTGGACATCTGTGAAAGCCAGCCAGTCAGTACATAATGATACATACTGGCTTTGGAGTAACATCAGCTGCCGTCTTTGTCAGGGAAGGTCCTTCATGTTTCAACAGGTTCTCTTTGTGGTATTTCTTTTAAAGTATAGGCTCATAAAATGATTGTCTAATTTATTTACAATTTGAATGCATGTCTGAGCTTTTTTGGAAGTTATTATGAATTTAATTATCTTGTCTTTTTAATTTTAGGTAATTGTGTTGCAGTTCCACCTTCATCTGCCCTCCGTGTCAGTATTATTTTGGCAGTTTTTCTCATTTGTACTTGTACAACAGTCATTATTCTCTGGATATGGAGACAAAACAAAATCAAAGGTAATCATATTGGTCTATCTGCTAGGTGTCACCAAATCTGTACTAACTCAAGTTTTTAACAACTAAACCTTAATCAAGGTGTGTGTAACACCTTTTCATCAGACAACTTTTACATAACTAACTCTGTACTTATGCAGAGAAAAAGAGGCGAACTGAGGATGAAGCTGAGGAGAAAGAGAAAGAGCAGCTGTTGGCAGAAAACAAGAAGTCTGAAGAACTACAGCAGAAAGAGGAAGAGCTGAAAGACCTGGAGGAGCTGGTTAATATACTGATTGACCAGGAAAACGAACTGAACAAATTAAAAAATGAACTCAAACAACAAAGGGATGTGGTGGATGGTGAGGTGGAGGATATTGAAAACAAGCTTCAGTCAGTGAATAAGAACACAGAAAGTGACAGAGCAAAGGGATACATGGATCTGAAAGAAATAATAACAGAACGCAAAAACAAATTACTAGAGAAAAAAGCAGCAAATTCAAAGCTGCAAGCAAACATTGAAAACCGTCTTCTTAGAATGCAGCACATACATGATAAAATGACCCAAAGAAAACCGGAAGTGGAGAAACAACTGGCAGAGTTACAGAAACAGAAAGATGAGATTAAGAAGACACTTAATTTAGAGCAAAATCAGGAAACTTTAAACATTTAGAAAAATTCTCAAACCTCATGTAGAGAGGTTTGAAAAGTACTTCTTGTATCTGCTGATGGTGCCGCCAGCCTGTCCTTCCATGATGGCTCATCTCATCCCCTTCTCCCCTTCTTTCTCAGGTGTCTGCTACCTGAGGTATACACTAAGCACATCATCTGTTGTGGCCATCTTCCTGATGTACTTATGGATGTTTGTTGTCTCATCCTGGACAGTGGTTCTGCCACTCATTAATGCACGGACACCTTTCATCAGGGTGATGGATTTGGGGTGAATCAGAATTAGAATAAGAATAGTTTATTAATCCTTAATTAAACTATGTGCATCCTTCTCCAAGATAATAAGAACAGTAACAGACTGAAATTAAATAATACAATATATAACAAAGTTACAAAATATAAGAAATAGCTCTAATATATATAAATATACAGATTATAAATCTCCAGAATATTACAGGGATTAAATATGTATGGTTTTACTCTAAACTGTAAAGTGTAACTGAAACCCCATGCATGGCAAAGAGCTTCCTTGTCTTGATGTCAGTGACTTTTATCTCTGCCTTTGGCCAGCTTATTATCCCACCAGAGTACCTGATCACGGGTGAGATACAGTGTGTAGGTGTTGATTGCCTGGATCTTGTTCTTCATATTCAGCTGACTCTTCAGGTCTTACCTGACTCTCTGCAGGTATTTCACTGTTACAGCTTTCCTGGTAGCCTCTTAGAGGTTCCCATGTGTATGGGCTCAAATTGTGGTCAGAAATATTTTGTACTTGTAAATCAGAATGTGTAGTTGTGAGTTTTGTAACCTTCAAATGAAAATATATGAAAATATAATGTTTTTGCATCTATAAATTAAAATTTGTGTGTGTGTAAAAAAGATTTGTGTTTGTAAAAAATATTTACACAAGTTAGATATTTTTTTTGGTAAGGTCTGCTTACATATACAGAGCAAAAAAAAACTATGTGTAAAACTCACGTTTCACGGCTGCGTGTAAGTTTCAACTTACAAGTACAAATTTTTACCCGATTTTTCGTCTTTTCTTCAGTTTAACCCTTTAGAGCCGATCGGAGCGGGCACGCTCTGTTTTGCGTAACTATTTTTAAATCCCAGTAGCACTGCAACCACGTAAGCTAGCGCAACAATTTTTTTGCATATGAAACCGGAGGAGTTGTACTTACATCTTATGCTATCAGCTTGTCCTAGGTCACGGTTTCCTTCCACATAAAGCTTTGCAAAAACTGCATAAAAAGCGCTTGCAGGAACAAAAACATAATATTCTAGAAACACGCTTTGCCGATCCGATCAGCTGTTCATAACACTTCCTACGTTGGAATAGACGTCAGAGCGAATTTTTGCATTTCCGCCATTACCTGCCCGAAACCGGAAGTGACGTCATATTTGCGGAAATGTAGTCTTTTCTACTATTAGGGCCTCAGGGCCTATACTGCTCTTTTTAAAAGTTATGTTTGACTTTATGCCTTTCTGTGTCGTTTATGGGATGCTGAGGACTCATATTGCACTGCTGGAAATAGTTTATTTTGATGCAGATGCTGCTTTTTTGCAAATTTGCAGTATAACATTTATTTTCATTTTTCCTGCAGTGTATAAAAATTGGTGTATTTCAAAAATAAAACTATGAAGACACTCAAAATAAATTTCCTGTGGTGG